TCCTCCGCCCCCCCCCCCCCCCCCAAGTTTCAAATGAATAATAAATGTAAGCAGTTATCATGGATTCACAAATCTTCCCTTAAAAGTTAATTAATTATGTCAAAAAGTTCTTATCTAGACAAGTGCCTACTCCTTCAGAGCCAATTATTTTTTCTGTTGTATACTTTCGAATCTGCAAAGTGACAATGACCTGCATGACAGAAGTTCCATGGCTAAAATCTTGTCTCTACCTAAATCAATGTGAGTTTTCCCATGACTTCAAAAAGATCATTAACTCATTGCCATCATAAAAATAGGATTTGGCAGTACTTGTAAGGTTCTGATACTTGGAACTGTCTTTTGCTATGAGATTTTTTAAAACGTTCCTTTTCCTACGAGACTCACCATTGTTAAATAGTAGTTAAAAAAGCAATCTGTCACTCATTTGATTACAAGAATCCAACAAATGAACAATAAAAATATTGGAGAAAGTTGGCACCTTCCTCTATTTTGTTTCAAGACTTTCTCTATTTAGCTGCACAGAATAGAATTTGTGCTGTCATTTGTATCTTACATATGGCTAAGCAAACTGCTGTATTTAAAAAGCAAACAACTAGCAACAGCCACAGCAGGATCCAGCAGAAAGGTGAGTCAAGATGATTCAAAACATGAATACATCCAGTAGCCATAAAAAAAGGAAAAGGACAAATATTTGGTCCAAAGGTTCTTTAAAAAAATACGGTGTCTTCCTCTTGCTATGGGCAGTGCACAGTGCAGTAGAAAACTGAAATTCTGAGGCAGATTTAAAGCTCTCTCCCATATCTTCTGAAATTGAGGTATGTTGGGGAGATGATGCATTCAGTCTCCAGAGAGAAGAAAGATACTGTTCACACAGCACTTCTACTCACCAGTCCATGCAGCAGCAATGGTGTTGGCTTTGAAGGAAGCCAACTGTCCTGCTCTCCCAGCCAGAGGTAAAGAATTGCATTGGTGGCCACTAGAGGGAGGATTAGGAATATAGTAAATTGTGGGCAAAAGGCACCCATGATGAATCATATGGGACAACCTACAAATCCCCCACTGCTGCCAATAGGCAACAATTCTCAGATACTGCTATGGGCTGGGAAGTATAATCGAGTTGTTTATCATCTGCTACAGAGGAGCTGCTAGTATGTATCCTAAACTTTGGTGGCTGAAGGATAGAAGGGCTGACTAGGATCCTGTGAAGCATACCTACAAACACACAAAGGCACATCCCTTTATTTACAGTTGCCTTATTTGCCTTCTGGTTTTTAATCTCCTTACTTAAAACTTCTCATGTCCTTTATCAAGAAAGCTCCTGTGAAAAGCAAACATCCCAGCTTCAATAGAATCTCAGAAGAAGCATCAGCAGACAGAGACACACTGTGCCAAGATACACTGTATTTAACAAAAAGATATGAACATATTAAATGTACTTGAAAGCAACAAAATCCATTGTGATAAAATAAATGTTCTTTTACTAAATTAAGGTTTGAGGCATGTCTGAAAGAAATGTTTTCAATTAGTTACCTACATAATTATGTAGTAAACTGTATCTTGCAATTCAGTTTACCCTGAAGCTTGACTGCCTGGTGTCTTACCTCCAGCACAAGTGGCAGAACATTCTGACCAAGGCAGATGATTCCATGCAAAGCCAACTTCATTGTCTCCACTGCCAGTGCGAGAGATGGGAACACTGAATTTATACCTTATACCCAAATTTTGTTCCTGTAGCAGAATCTGTAGTTGAAAACAACTGGTTATACCATTAAAACAGGCAATCAGAGAGTAACTACAGTGACATTTAATCTAGGTATGTGTTATGTCCTGTGGAAGGGAAAAAAGTAATAAAGGAAGCCATAGTTCTTTTAGGTACTCCCAAAAGAATCTGGACTAACTTTAAAAACATATATAAAAGAAAAGCATTATTGTCTAAGGTGAGCTTTGTCTTTTTTTCCCTTGACACAACTTTATAACTTCTGTAAGTTCTTTATTCTTGACATAACTGTTCTAAAAAGCCAGTTTTCATAAAATTAATGTCTTAATGGAAGTTAATTTGGTAGCTGAATAATTACGTGAGGTCAAAGTTGGTTAAGGACATTACTGTGCAAACATGCATCAGTCCTTGCTGAAATCTTGCGAGGAGCTACCCACATAGCAATTAGGAACCTAGCTCTGCCCTTGCTTACACTTCTAGTGACTATAATAATAGTAATAATAGTAACAGCAACAGACTGTTGCTGAGGTCATTGTTTTCCCCTAATACAATAGCCAACAGCATTAGCTTGGTGGAATCACACCTGTGGTTCCTTTAAAGGAATATCAAAACTCTCACTGCAGCTATATCACTGCAAGTGATACAGATGGAAGTGCAACAATCACTATGAGCTTTCATCTACCCTCACTGTTGAGCTGCACTTCCACATACCACCTGTCCAATACTAGTCTTCAATTCTCTACCTAACTTTTTCTTTCTGTTACTAATAATATATATCATGTTAAGATGCATCAATCTGACACCTTTTAAAGCTATTTCTCATCCCCTTCTACCTTCTGTGATATTTTGCAGAGGCATATCTGCCTATCTCCATTGGACAAAAGAGCAGAGAACTTTCAGTAAGAAAGTCAGTGGCACTGACTGAATGAGAAAAGCCACTATTAATCATTGTGTAACTCATTCTATATGGACTCCAGCTTATCCACAGCTACAGCAGAAAAAACAGGATTTGGGTGTTTGAAAATGTCACCTAAAATGTTAATATCCAGGCAACAATCATTCTATACACAAAAGTATCCTGTCTGGCTCAAGCAATCCCTGAACTGCAAATCTGGCAGCTGCTAGAATATACTGGGCAAGTATCACCCTGTTCTTATACTCCTCCTCAACACAGTAGAGCAACAGTAGGCTTACTATTGCCTACTGTCAGAGACAGGGTACCATGACCCTGGTCACATCTTCTGTTACATTCTCATATTTTGTACAATCTATTCAGAGCAATGTATGTCACAGCAACATACTTTAATACAGGTCAAATCATGGTACTCTTGCTGTGATAAAAGTACTTCATACTCAGGCCAGGCTTAAAACCACTGACATCTACAGAACTGTCAGGAACTGTCATGCTATATCTTAACACTTCCATGTATCAACAGTACGCAGAGATACATTATACGCCCCATTTACAATTTCTGCTACCATTATTCCATAGCACATTTAACACAGATGGGGCATTTTCTGTGAGATTTCCTGGGGCTCTTCTGACTTTATCCCTTTTTCATCACAATGTTTGCCTGTCAGTTTTGAAAGATAAGCAAGCTGTGTTAAAAAGCTGTGTCCCAGCTAGTCCCAGCAAGGCAAGCTGTATACTCTCTGTAAACACAACCTATTTTGATTTCATTCATGGCCTTGTCTTTCCTAAGAACATAAATACACATTTCAAATTTCAGAAATATATTAATTATAACTTTACCATGACTATGAGATTTTCTGAAGTAGGGCCTAGTGCTTCCAAAGACTCTGGTTCATCTGTTGGCCTCTTGTAATGGAAAGCTGTTCCAGCAACATCAAACTTTCTTGGCCAGTCAATAGTCCAGGCACCATTAATATAGTAGTCATCCTCTTCAGATTTTAAAGCTTAAAAAAAAATACAAGCCACCTAAAAATTGGAAGCAGCATTTATAATGGAGAAGCCATTGCAAATTAAAATACTAATCTGTTAGAAGTATGTGAGCTTCAGCGCAACACCACTGTTTTTTCAAGCAATATAAAACCTTTTCTTTAGTCCTGGTCAAAATATCTCCCTCGTGGAGTTTGACAATATTGCCTCTTCAATAATCTTCAATGTGCAGGTATACTTTGCAGATTTCAACATGCAGATGCTATATGGAACAAAACAGAATGCCTCATGCAACTTGCAATATATCTTCAACTTTAAAACCGAGCCCATGTGCAATGTATGCTGTTCTACATAAGATATACATAGGTCTCAAATGTATAATCATTTATCAATTTAATCTTTAGATTAAGAAGTTGAGGCAAGGGATAGGCATCTCAGATAATGTGCAGAGGAAAAAAAGAGAAGGAACATTGAGTCTGACATATGGTCCCAATCAGCTCTTGCTTTATGCTCTTTGTCCACTGTTTTTTTTTTCCTTCTTAAAGCATAAATCCAAGATATTTCTACTACAAAACCAAATACTAGCTATTTAATCTGCTAAGATATTTTATTAAACCTAATTTACAGCCTTAAACCATAAAAGTACTGTAGGTAAAACATAAATTTCTTAGCTAACCAACCAATTAGGCTGGACAAGCAGATATTATTCAGGGACTTATATTTGATTTTCTATCAATAATATTGGATTAAGTTTCTAAATAAGAAACTGACTTTGTATCTTAAGGTGAATATTCTGTTAACTAGACATTGACTTCTTGACTTAAGGTGAAGTTTACCGAGTCATATTTACTTTAAATAAAACATGTTCTTAAAGGCAAAATGATGGTTGGAAATACATGATCAAACAGCCATGTCATTTTTTGTTGAGAAAAATCACTGACTTTACCTGATAGGGAATTTACAAACTCACATCACAATCATAAGGAATAAGACAACTTAGGATCAAGTTTTATTCTCAGCTACATCTGTGTGGACAGATGGATACCTTAAACAGTTAGAGAAAATGTCTGAATGACACTCAAATTTTCTAAAAGACATGAGAGAGCATTCATATGAACAGGAGATAGTTGGGAGACAGTAACATTCTGTTGGTGACAGCCATATTCAGCAGGGATTAGTAACCATTTCCATCAGCACCATAAGGTCTGTAAAGGAATGTCTTTCCATAGCATAAATTTTATTCCATGGACTTCCCTGGATTTACTCTGGAAACACACATGTGCTTTGAGTGAAGAAACTAGCTCTGACATTCACTTATCTGGAATTCTCAAAGTAATTCAGATTCCTTATTGTCTATATAGGCTTTGTAGTACAAGAAGGAGATAGTAAAAAAAGTGAGTATAGGAGAACAAGACAAATTGCAAGCAGTACTGTACTAAAAGAAACGAACAGTATTTCCACTATTTATCTATTTTACATGGGTATATGAAATAACTATGTTACAGCTGAACATCAGTATTTTTTTTATTAGTGGTCTTATTGCCACATAGCAAAAATTTCTATCCATCCTGCTTTCACAAAATCTAGCTTAATTAAAAGAGGGTCACAGGGTCTCCCAAAGCCACCAAGACATATTAAAGTCTCTTACTGTGCCACTCAATCCCAAACATTTTCTCGTCAGTATGTCTAGTATCTACTAAGAGCAAATAATGAAGTGAATGCTTTACTTATATTATTTGAGACATATGAACAACAACGAGACATATAAATGAGCACAGGAGAACAAATGTTCTCATACATTGTTTACATAATTAATCATTCTGAAATTATATGCTATCAATTGTATGTATGCTATACACACTTAAACTAATATATACCCAGAAGCAAAGCAGTTCATTTTTTACCTGTCTGACTGCCAAAGAAAAATGCATTTGCATTCTGTAAATAGATTAGCTTAATGTCAGTTGTTATGTGTAGGTGAAGGCCACACAGCTGTGAATAGCATTTCAATAATATAATTACATGACAATGATGAAGCAGTGGCATAATGCTATTAGCATATGAGACAGAACAAGTTAATGTCCTAATCAAATAATTTATGAGAACTTGAGAATGCAGGAAGCCCACAGGAAATTAGCACACAACACAACTGTTGCATAAGGGGAATATAAGGGAAGATGTCACCTCGGATCAATCCATTTAAGGGAAGATAACAGCATTACTAAACATACATTTTTTCAGCAGCTCTGAAAACAGGCAATTTTACTGTTGCTGGGTTATTTTTTGGACAGATCAGTTGAAAATATTGAATTAGTTATGCAGCTGCAAAAATGTGCTTTGCTGTCACAACACTAGGAGTGATATTGGTGCAGAAATGATCAGCCAGAGACAGGGGGAGGGAGGACAGGTGCTGATTGAGCTAACTGAAGTTGCCAAATGTCTAACTGCAGCCTAAATTTGAGGCCATGGCTTGCAAAAGGACTGGATCTTAGTTTAAGGAACTGTGGGATGTTTGTTGTAAGTTAGTTTGAAAGCCTCAAAGGCTGAAAGGAACATAGAAGAAACGTCGAAGCCAGTGTGAGGAGCTACAGAGGAAGACAGTTTTATTTTTTCCTTTTTTGTATATTTCCAAATGGAGAAATTGATTTTTTAGACTGTGGTCACATATTTGGCAGCAATGCACATAAACCAAAATATGTGTAAATGGTTATTTTCAGCTGAATCAGTTCTCTAATCTGGTTCATAGTGTGGCCACATAAACAGTTGTCCTGGAGCAACAGAGGGAACTCTGTAAAGACAGGGAAGGAGCTGTGAAGTTGACACTATAGTGCTTGTACAGTGCTTTTTAGGGAACAGACAAACTAGAAGCCTTTCTTTCCTCAGAAACTGGTGATCCTAAAATAGTGATCTGGTTCACACTCACAGTACAAAACATCCCAACACAAAATGAAATGGCCCCTGTGACTTAGTATAATTATCTTTCATTAGGATATAATGGCAGCTTTGAAAGTTGGAAACACAAGGAACTAGTGAAGGAGAGGAATCCCCCATTTGTGTTAACCAGGGCTTCTGTGGCACGAAGCAAGGCAGTGAGGAGAGAGCCTGAAACTCAGGAAACCCCTTGAAATTGTGACAAACACATTTAAAAAGTATTTATGTACCACTTTACATTTTTAGATCTGTGGCCAGATTAAATACCAAGCAAGTTCCCTATATTTTTATTTAAGCCAAAAAATTGACATTTTTCATTCATTTTATACAGATAGTGCTAATCTAAAGGCTTTTTCAGATCACTTTCCTCTGCTTATAAATTAGAGGAATAACAAAATTAATTGTAGTAGCTAAGAATATCTTCTTTATTCTGGTTTTCAGCTACCCATGGAATCAGAAACACAATATGAATCTGCGTATTAAATATAATGACACTAATATTGGTGTAGATTTCAATGTTACAAAATGCTCTTTTGACAATATGGTTCTTAGCAGAAAACAACCATGATAGGATGCATTGTATGCCTCTCCCACCACCTCTGTTTGAAATGTTAATATAGGATATATGAGCAACCTTACTCGCAGTATATTTTGACATAGGGGAGGGGCCAGGGGAAGCGTGATGCTGAAAGAATAATAAGCACTCTATTGCTGGAGTAGTGGTGTTATTATTCCTGAAGAATGGAGGGAGACTGATAATCTGCTGAATTACAGGAGGGTGGGGGCAGGCAGAAAGAAAAGTAGGCATCCAACAGTAAAAGGCACCATTATTATCAATATAATCAATTTAGGAATTAATGTACCTAGGAGAATAATTGCCCTTCAAACTCAGACTTACAGGCATCGTAATTCTTTTCAACATGCTAGTGTTATATATATTAACTACATGGAGTACAGACTAAGTAGCCTAGTCAGCTGCTGTTCAGTCTAAACAAATAATAGCTTTTGGTTGTGTTAATCTGTTAGTTTGCTGTACAATTAACTAATCAGCTCTCTGTTCTATTTTTTACTAAGTACTATGAACTGAATGATATGCAAATCAGGGTACAGAGGCTTTCAGAAATGAGTTTGACGAAGCCAGATTTGTACGTACCAGTATTAAAAAAACAGAAAGCAAATTTAACACAGTCTTTAAAGAAAGGAATGATAATCTGGGAATTTGAATTTAATTCTGTGCTTTACCACAAGCTTCCTGAATGATCTCAATTAAGCACCTAGTTTTTCTGCACCTCATTTTCCTTATCTATAAAACAGGAATGGCATTAAGTCCCTACAACACAGAAACACTGTGGAATACATACATTAAATTGCCTTAAGATAAGGAGACAGTATTGTTAGCATTTAAGTAACCATGGCTGTTGATGAATAATCATTCCAAGAATAAAATGGTGTTTTAAAACAGTACAATCTCCCAAGATCAGAGACTTCCCCAGGTGGAAGACGCTACCTCAGAGTGGGACAGTATATCATTTGAGTGTTCCTCATTCACTTCAGCTCAAGTCTGACACCATAACTATAGTGAAATTGACCTGATTTTGCACTGAGTGGACAAGGAGGAATCACATGATGTATTTCATTAGGTCCACTCAGGAGAATACATCCTAACCAACTGCTGCAACTGTCTGACCACAACCTAATATTAACACCTACCATTCCCTCTGCTGCTTCTACTATGTGTATGGTTTGGCCAAACCAGAAAATGTACCCTAAAATCACATCATAAATTCTAACTTAATAACAGTCTGCTGTTTAAACCATGCTCTTACCAATGTAGTTCTTTGACATTGTCACTTCTCTTATTTCAATGTGCACAGAACCTCTTGGAATTTGAATCACTTCCATATAGCCTATAAGATAAAGATAAATTTTATTTCTTGTTGTTTATCTTAAACAATATTAGTCATGAAACTAACCATTAATAAATTACTTACTACTAAAATTAGTAAGAGATATGGGATTCAAATGCACTTCAACATTTTCTTTCATGTGATATAATGGAAAACTCTTTAAATTTCAGACACAAATTTGAAAGTGATAGCAAGAATTTACCATGCAGTCAGGAATTCCTTTTTTTAAATGCTAATAAAGTCTTTTCAACAGTGTATCACAAGTAATTAATGTATAAAATGATCATAGGATAATTCAGGCTGGAAAGGACCTCAGACAGTCATTTAGTCCAACTTCCTGCTACAAGCAGGGTCAGCTAGGAGATCAGACCAAGTTACTCAGTGCTTTATCCAGCTGGGTCACGAAAACCTCCAAAGATGGAAACTGTAATACCTTTCTGGGCAACCTGATCCACTGCTGGACTGTCCTCCTGGGGAAAGTTTTTCCTTCCATTTGGTCAGCACCTGTCTTGTTTCAATTTATAGCCGTTGTCTCTTCTCCCACTGTGTACCCACCGCTGTGAACAGTCTGGCTCTGTCTTCTCCATAACCTCCTCCTCATAGGTATTGGAAGGTTGATACTAGGTCCCCACAAACCTCCTCTTCTCCAGGCTAAATAAGCCCAGTTCCCTCAGCCTCTCCTCACAGAGGGGCAAGTGCACCAGCCCCCAATAATCTTAGCAGCCCCTCACTGAACTGAACTCACTCCAGTGAATCAATCCTTTTCCTGTATTCAGGGGCCCAAAACTGATAACACTAAGATTGCAACATTAATATTGTCTTTTTTGAACTAAGCTTTCAACTAATTGCCCATATACACTTCCTGAGTTCTTAATAACATGAACTTAAAGAGACATTTCTGGATTCTTTCTATTCTAAAATTTCATGTATGACTAAATATCAGATTCTACCATACGCATTAAAATCGTACACAAAATTACTTTTACCATACAACCACAACTAATGAATTAAAAAAACTGCACCCACTTCTTTTTAAGTGCATTAAAGACCATGAAAACTAAGTATTCAGTAATGAAACATATTGTTGTATTTGACATAAATCCAAACTAATACAGAAAAAGGAAACAACGAGGCAAAAGGAGTCAAAGTGAATGACCAGCAGCAATGCCATGCTGGAAATCAATGCAGCACTGTTATTTGCTAAACAGTTATCTAAATGCATTGTGCAACAGAATGGACGTGTATGTGCATACCTCCTCTGGGCAATGAATCATTGAAGAAACCTTCAATGGCTTCACATGTACTCCCATCTCCTCCACAAACACGGCATCTATCTTCCTTAGCATCAGACCCCAAAATATTATCACAACCTACATGCTGAGAACAGATAAGAACAAGTATTTTAACAGGATGATGGTTTCTTGCACCATTACCTTCATAGTTTTTTGAAGCGTTTCTCTCAAGTTTGAGATATTCAGTTGTTCTTTTTATCTACTCTGTTTTTGATATCTGTTACCGTAAGTGGGTTTTCACTTACCAGAGGAAGAAAATAAAAAAGTAGAACAATCCACATTTTGGTTTGTTACGAAATCTTGATTAATAAATACTTTGTATTTCTACTGTGACTTTCAGGAAGGGATTACACAGCATTTTACAAACAATGTAATTATTACAGTTATCAATAAATGATTAGTGACATTTTTATTTAATATCACAACAGCTAATTATGTTCCATCTATATTGCTTTGTTAAGGGAAACATTTGCTGTGTGTTCCTTAAACATTTATGCAGCATAAATAGTATTATTGTTCCCAAAGGTATTTACAGCTTCATAGATAATCTTTCCACATCCTCCAGGCAAAACCTGCAATTATTTTTGTAAGGTTGAACATAAAGTGTAAATTACTTCACTGTAAGAATGAATGCAGAACGAAACTTAGTGAAAGGCTGAATTACATGCTGTATTGGATAGGATTCAAAAGCCTTTGGAAAAAAAGAGAGAGGTGTCTATAACTGATCATTAAAAGTACATTACATTTCTGATTATCTATTTGAGGAATCTATATACGGTGAACTCCCTGTAACTTATTGATTCATCCCTATTACAAAGCTAATGAAAATATAGACAGCTGGATCCTTTGGGGAAAAATAAAACAAACAAACAAAACCAAACAAGTAGGATGCAAACAGAAAGAATGCTGCAACTTGCCAATTTTTTCAGGGATTTATACAAAAAACAAGGCAGCTACATAACTCAGTTTACTGTCTAGCAATATTATCTACCATCTTGTAAACAGGTAATACATAGGTCATAAGAGAAGTTAAAATACTTTAAATAATTTACAAAATAGTATTATTCTAACCATTTACATTTCAATTTTCTGATTCACCGAGAAGACAGAGACCCAATTTTATTACATAGCTCATTCTCAACTTGAGTTTTAGTCTGATTATTTATTAGTTTTAAAAGATTTCTCAAAAGTACTAAAATCTTCTTATGTATAAAGTACACCAGAATTCTGCACGTTATTTCTTGTGCTTTTTTTTTGTTAGTTTAGATGGCAAATGCTTTTGCTCTCATCATGTTATTCAATAAACATACATCTTCAGCACTCAATTTAGCAAAGCACTTAAGCATTGGGTTAAGCTTTAGTTATGTTAGTGGTTTCAGTGAAATCAAATAATTTTTAGAGTCACCAGCACTGTTCAGATATTTAGACTTAAGTACATATTTAAACACTTTGCTAAACTGAAGCAGCAGTGGGATGAATATAACAAAAAATATGGCACAGACCTCCAATTCTCTGCAAATTCATGCAATGCAGTTCCACAGGAATCTTACAAGATAATCAGATTTTTAGTAAATGGCAAATACTTGCATCATTATACACTTTTTCATAGAACTACCGAGCAATAGTGACAACTTTCTGTTTCAATTACATTAAAAGCAAAATTGTTTGCAACAGGATGAACTAGTTAGAGAGAAACAGATTAGTATGTTCACATTTACTGTTTTTCAGCCAGAGTGGTGTTCTAATTGGAATGATGGAACAGGCCTTGGAACAGGGCAAGGAATCTGTTCATCTCCTGTTGCCCTTTCCACCAGTTCTTCAACAGAAACCACAAAGCAAGAAAAAATAAGACAAAATGAAGGATTCTATGAATGTCTGTGAGAAGCTACTGAAATTCAAATTGTCTTTTTTTCTTTTTGTTTCAATCTTACTCTTTCATTAACAACTTGACTTGTAAACACTCCCATTTCATATAAGTAACAAACAAATACCATAATTAAATGTAGGAGATAGCAGACACAACATAGTAATCCAGAAGTATTATATAAAACATTTGTAACCTTGCATTCTCCATTGATACAGATATCCAGTGAATCAGCATTGCACTGAGTCCCATCTATTACTGCAGGAGCACGTTCAGTGTAAAAATTATAACCTTCAGCCAAGCAGTTTAATGCACATGGTTTAACCCCACCTGGACAACAAAAACATAGAAAAAAACCCCAGAATTCTTGAAAAGCTAATAATTAATTAAAAATATATATGCATAAACAGGTCTGTAATGTATAATCTTATCTCATACCTGACACATATAATGTATACACTTTATTTTACTTCCCTTTATTGATTTCTCTACTTGACTCTTCTTTCTTGCAAAAAAGATTATTTCTCATAGTAAGATATGGCTGGTTCCATAATGATTCCATTATGTTAATACAACCCTAATGATTATTGAACAATTTAAAACAATAAGGATACCACTTCATCATTTGAAAAACATGAATAACGAAAGAATGTAGTGCTAGAAGTATGTCAGGGTAAATTTCAAAAACAAGATCAGACTATTTCAATTAGGAATTTAGTCCTATTACTTGAATTACACTACAGCTCAGACCATGTGATCACAATGGTCCTTTTTAGGATTTTGATCTAAAAAACTAAGAATAAAACCATTCAATCCAATAAAATACAAAAACACAAAGGGGAACATGGACTTATTCACTCAGGGTTTAGAACGGGAAAAGACAAAATAATCAAAGGGCAACCTACAAACTTTGAACAATGACAGAAACATAACTAAGCTTGATTAAACTGTCTCAAAGAGAAAAAAAAATTACAACCCTCTTCCCTGCCCCAAAATAGCCTTTTTATTGCACAGTGTGATTATTTATAATTCGATTATTGAAGTAGTCTTTAGAGACTCATAAATGTTTTTTCCTCTTTCTCCTTTTCCTACTCTTCTGACCTTAAGTAAGGAAAACTTATATTGAGATTTTTTTATACTGAACTCATCACCATAGCATCAAAGGCACTTACAGAGCACTTGTGTAATCTCTAATTCTATTGCAACTGCAGGTGGAGAAGGGCTCCATATTTTAAAATGGAGTCCCTACAATGATGCGCACTCCCCTTCACAGTAAAACAAAGCTCTACCAGAACAGAGATGGTTCTTCTGTAACATTTTCAGCAACTGACAAAAGTACAAGCTTAGCAAACTTCGCTCATTGTATCTTAATCAAAACATTCAATTTACAAACATTACTTTATATATAACATTTATATAATTTTGAAGACTTAACATATGATAACATTTTTGCAAAGCTACACCATACCTCCAGTGTAGGGTTTCCAGTTATAATACTTTCCCCGGAAAGGCATATTGTCAAAGTCCGCACATTGTTTTTCTCGAAAATCACGGGCTCCTGGAGGACATGGCTAAAATAACAAAGATGAAAAAAGGTTAATTTCTTCTGAATATCAACATAAAAGGAAATACTTATATGCTTATATTACAAACATAATCATGCAAGAGACTAGGAGGTGGTTCCCTGCTTTATCTTGTGGCTCTGATTCTGACGCTTGCTTTATTGCTTTACAGTTGAATTGTCTATTTTGCAATCTTAGGCTGGCATGAAGTAACTGAAGTAATTTAAACAAAGGTAAGTTATATAACAGTTTCCATACAACTGGACAATCAAAATCATGTCAAACCATGCTTCATAATCAATCCATCAGCTACCTCCTTATAAACAGACATAAAAACAGCTGAAAAAAATTAAAACACAAAACCATTTTGGTAAGAGCTCTAGACTCAGTTGTACTGTATTAAGCAGCTGTACTGAGCTATAGAATCAGAATCGTTTAGGTTGGAAAAGACCTTTAAGATCATCAAGTCCAATCATTAACCTAGCACTGCCAGGTCCACCACTAAACCATGTCCCTAAGCACCACATCTACAAGGCTTTTAAATACCTCCAGGGATGGAGACTCAACCACTTCCCCAGGCAGCCTGTTCCAGTGCCCGACTACCCTTTCAGTGAAGAAATTTTTCCTAATATCCAACCTAAACCTCGCCTGGCGCAACTTGAGGCCATTTCCTCTAGTCCTATCACTTTTTACTTGGGAAAAGAGACTGACACCCACCTCCCTACATCCTCCTTTCAGGTAGTTGTAGAGAGCAATAAGGCCTCCCCTCAGCCTCCTTTTCTCCAGACTAAACAACCCCAGTTCCCTCAGCCACTACTCATAGTACTTATTCTCTAGACCCTTCACCAGCTTCGTTGCCCTTCTTTGGACACGCTCCAGCACCTCAATGTCCTTCTTGTAGTGAGGGGCCCAAAACTAAACACAGTACTCGAGGTACGGCCTCACCAGTGCCGAGTACAGGGGGATGATCACTTCCCTAGTCCTGCTGGCCACACTATTCCTGATACAAGCCAGGATGCTATTGGCCTTCTTGGCCACCCGGGCACACTGCCAGCTCATATTCAGCTGGCTGTTGACCAACACCCCCAGGTCCTTTTCCGACAGGCAGCTTTCCAGCCCCTCTTCCCTAAGCCTGTAGCATTGCATGGGGTTGTTGTGACCCAAGTGCAGGACCCGGCACTTAGCCTTGTTGAACCTCATACAGTTGGCCCCGGCCCATCGATCCAGCCTGTCCAGGTCCCTCTGCAGGGCCTTTCTACCCTCCACCAAATCAACACTCCTGCCCAACTTGGTGTCATCTGCAAACTTTCTGAGGGTGCACTCGATCCCCTCATCCAGATCATTGATAAAGATATTAATAAAGATATTTATGTTTTTAAGACATTGAGAAAAAAATTTAAACATTTTCTAGAGAGCCATATCACCTTTACTTACTTGTAGCCTTGACAAAAGCATTGTATTAAGGCTGAGAATGAGACTAGATATCATGCTTGGTCCTGATTCTTACCAGCCTCCAAGCATGAAGAAATAAAAAATACTTTGATTTAAATTTTCATCACTTCGCATTACCAATTATGAAACTGAACAATAGCTTTTTACTTGGAATAAGGGTAGGTATACATGAAATTAATCTCAGGAAAGAATTATAGGAGAAACTTAATTCTTGCTATTTCTCACATTTTTCATCAGCAAGTTCAAAATAAGAATGACAACTAATCTTGAATACACCCAGAATTTAGATAGCACATTAAACATTGTTATCAATGTTTAAGTACCTGCTGCAATTGCAAGCTTCATTAGACAAAGTATTTGAAATACAGATTAAAATAATTTTTAGAATGAAAGAGAAAAGAATTTGTGTGACAGAAATTAGAGGTGTTAACAAATATTACTACTTTATGAGCAACAAAAAGTCCATTTTACGGTAGTTTTACTAGTCTTCCTACATATCTCAGCCAGTTAGCATTGTTCAGGAATCTGAAATGCATTCAAGTGAAAGGGTCTGAATAAACATGTATGATAAAACTTTACTGCACAATGCAAATATTAACATAATAATTATAATTCTCAATATACATTAATCAAGCCAGCCCATTGCAATATGATTCAGAAACTACAGATTTTTTCTCTAATTTTGAAGCTGTTGCAATATAAATGAAAATACTGGACATTAGACAGTACTGAAATTTTAAATTTTCTCTATATATCACTTTATTATCTCCTAATTAAAAATACATTTTTGAATATAATACATTTACTGGTAAAAAAAAGTTACTGTTGCTACTTTAATTCAATAATCCTTCAGATCATAATAGTGAGAATAAAAAATAACTATGTAAATAAGATTTTTTTTTATTATTTTATTAGCAACACAAATTAAATTTGCCTCTTTGCATCATATTATCCAAGCAGTAGAAGGACCAGTATTGACCTACCACAAAGCTTGAGTCTGAATATCTCTGATACTGGTCACTACACCCTATTCTTCAGTCCCACATGCTTAAGTAGCAATTTACATGGCTGGTATTTTAACTGCATCAAGTTACCTTTACAAGTTAATTAAAATACACACCCCCACCCCCAAATGAAATCCTTTTTCTAAATAGTTACACTAGGACAAAACAATAAAATATGAAGATTAGTAAAGAAGGATCACAACTTCCATATTTATACTCAAAAAAAAATCTTGCAATCTGATCTTTGAGATGTAGTCTTACTTCTCTTGTTTGATGGTGATCTTGGATGTATTTTGAGGCAACAATATCATCTTCATAAATGATCTGGATGATGGGGAAGAGCATACCCTCAACAAGTTTGCTGATAACACAAAACTGGGAAGAGTGGCTGATACGCCAGAGGGTCGTGCTGCCATCCAGAGGGACCTCGACGTGCTGGAGAAATGGGCCCACAGAAATCTCATGAAGTTCAACAAGGAGAAGTGAAAAGTCCTGCACTTGGGGAGGAACAACCCCATGGACCAGTACACGTGCTGGGGGCTGACCAGCTGGAAAGGAGTTTTGCAGAAAAGGACCTGAGGGTCCTGATGGACACCAAGTTGAACATCAGCCAGCAATGTGCTCTTGTGGCAAAGAAGGCTAATAGTATCCTGTACTGCATTAGGAGGAGTGTCAACAGCAAGTCCAGGGAGGTAATCCTTCCCCTCTACTCAGCATTGGTGAGGTCACACCTACAGTTCTGTGTCCAGTTCTGGGCTCCCCAGTACAAGAGAGACATGGCTATACTGGAGAGTCCAAGAAATGGCCACAAAGGGCCTGGAGCATTTCTCATATGAGGAGAGGCTGAGAGAGCTGGGACTGTTCAGCCTAGAGAAGAGAAGGCTCAGGGGGATCTCATCAGTGTGTACAAATATCTGAAGGGAGGGTGGAAAGAGGACGGAGCTAGGCTCTTTCCAGTGGTGCCCAGTGACCAGACCAGAGGCAATGGGAACAAACAGAAACACAGAAGGTTCCTCCTGAACAGGAAACACTTTTTTACTGTGAGGGTGACCGAACGCTTGCACAGGTTGCCCAACGAAGTGGTAGTGTTTCATATAAAAACAAAGACAGATTTGTATGCTCTTAATGGTTATATTAATCAAACATACCATTCCATTAAAAATGTCAAGCACTAAGGACTATCATAAATCTTGAAAAAAATCTACTAGTCTCAGCAATTCTTAGTTATTTAGAACCCTAAACATTACTATAAAAGAAATGGACTACAAGCATCAAAACCATTAAGGCAGTAAATTTAAACTTCTGTAAGTCACAATATGTTTATGCACTGGAAAACCATACCCAAAAAATATGCTAAAAAATGATTCACAGTCAAACTATAAGAATAGTATTTCCAAATTGCCTGGCCCCAGTCTGCTATTGTTCAAGATTTGGTTTGAAGACCTAGACAATGAAATGCAAAGTTTCCTTTCCAATTTCTTGTTTAAATTATTGATTGGAATCTGTGGATAGGTAGGGAACACACATTTTGGCATAGAGGACTACAGTTTTAAAATATTTTGATAAATTGGAGCAGTGGTTTGAAATAAAGCAATGGATGCAAATTACTACACTTGGGTAGGAACAATCAACTGTGCAAGCACAAGCTGAGGAATGACTTCCTAAACAGCAGCTCTTTAGAAAGGGATTTGGGCATTACAGATCAACACAGACTGAATAAATATTGTCACTGCTGTAAGAAAAGCGAACGCAATACTGAAATGAATAAATGGAATCTCATCACTAAGATGACAGACTTAGTTCTAAGTTGTACTTATCTCTGACAGGCCTCGGCTAGAATCCTGTGCAGAGGTTTGGGCACCACGCTTCAAGATGTGCACTACTGTGATCTCAAAGGCTATTAATACAGAGACTGTCTAGTGTAAAGAAGACCAAGAAGAGACATCATAGTGGTCTGCAAACACAGGAAAGGCTGCCACAGAGGGAATATGATCAGCTGTCTTCTTACTGGGGATGGAGTAAGTAAGGGTCTTAAAGGGTGGGAAAACATACACTATATTTTAGGAAAACTGTCCTGACAGTAAGGATATTAAAGAATCCTATTGATATCTCCCTGACAGGAGGTATTTCAAAACAGATCAGACTAACAGGTCAGCTGCCTAACCATCAGTTGAGAATGGTTTAATGACAGTTGATTTTGCCTTTGAGCCAGGGAATAGCCTGAATGTCCTCCTCAGATACCTTCTAGATGTTCCTTCTGTGACCCTATAAGCTTCTTCTCAGTAATAAACAAGTATAGAGAGAATAAGGGAAGCAAAACCAACTAAGAATAAAACTGTCTGAAAAGTGTCTAACAATAAGAAATAAAATATGATAAGAATAAAAGAAATCCTAGCAACTTTTCAATTATATCCCTAGGTAGCTATGGTACGATTGTTAATAACAAAAAGCATTAAAAAACTGTTGCATATTTGTAAGGGAGCAGATTTACATATTATGTAAACTTTCTTGTGTACTACTTACTGTGGCAGATGCTAAATAATATCTATTGGAAATAAACATTTTAAATAAGAATGCCTAGACAGCTACCTTGCCAGAGTCCTCAAAGAGTTAAGGGAGGAGGGCTCTAGTCTGAAAACATGAATTTTTTAAACAAATCTTAGACTGTACCTACAAACTGAAACAGGGCTAATGTAAAAAGTTCATTATTTGAGAAGGACAAATAGAATATTCTAGGTTACAGTTTGCCTGATATCAATCCCAAATAAACAGAAAAGCTGGTAGATACTTGACTGATACAGGTTTAAAAGAAATATAAATAATAATACAAATCAATATATTATTTTATAATAGGTTTTATCAGCTAAAACTTTTTTTTTAATTTCCTGGTAAAATTAAAAGGATAATGGAATATGCTTAGATTTTTATAAGGCACTTAACTTCGTAGTGCACAACATCCAGACTAAAAAACTAGAAACAAACCTGCACTAGTTCAGTAAAGCACACAATAAATTTATTAAATATTTACTGACACATTTCAATAAGGAATTATCACTTAGTTGGTGAATTCATAGGTGAATTTCCTATCAACTGTAAGAACGAAAAATATGTTCAATGTTACTCAACATTTTCATTTGTGAATTGGAACTATAAACAAAATTCTTGCTTATGAAGTTTTCCAATTACAAAAAGACCATCTGAGTGAAAATTAAGATGAAAGTAAATTAATTACAGCATATCATCTGGTAAGCTGGAGTCATTCAAATGAAAACTGCACAAAGACAGCCAACCACAAAGATACACATCTGTAGAAAAATTAAGATGGTCAAAGTTTCAGAAGGGTGCACTGTAATTTGGAAGGTTGTATGACTGAAGAAGTTTCACCGCTCATACCGGACAAGCAGCTCAGCTTCAGTTTCTCTCACAACACTGTGCCCAAAGGCCTAACACACTTCTTGGCTGTACTAACAGAACAGCTGTGATTAGCAGTAGGAAAGTAATTTTGAATTTGGAAATTTGTAATACTTCCTAACAATAAGGATAACCTCCACAGAGAAGTTTGCAGAACTAATACTTATGGTAATTAATGATAATCATAAAAACAAGGTTTTATCACGGAACCAGCATATTAACTATTTTATTTTTTTCTGAAATATATCAAAAAATGAACAGGTGAAACAACACCATTAGGTACACAGACTCTCCTGCTGTTATGAACTGTCTTGATTTAAGAAGAAAATTAAGACAAATTTGAAGCTAAAATAATATGGAAGCCTGTTTATGTTTGTACTGCTACTGACTTGGAAACTTACTAGTGAAATACTTTATTGGTGTGTACTTTTTTCTGGTACAATTTTTAACTTACTTGAATTTGTAATTTTGGTTCATAATTTGATTTTATACATTTATATACTGTCCCACCCCCTCAGTGGTACTTCATTATTTGATGGGCTCAGTTCTAAAATGAAACTGCATGATCATACTGGTAACACAAGAACCAGTGGATACCTGATGGCAAAGCAGCAGGTTTAAAACACACCAGAAGAAATACATTTTCACAGAATGTATAAGAGGATTGTGTAACACATTAGCACTGGAAGTTATAAAGGTATAAAAAGGGTAAGAGGGTTTAAAAGTGGATTCATGGAGGATACTTTCCATTTGTGGCAGTTAAGCAACATGGTACAGGTATGATGTCGAGGTCAAGAAATCTTTTAACACCCAGCTTCTGGAAACTCATATAGTATATCCATGGAAAAGTCATGCCTTGGCAGCCAAAAGTTTATAATTTTTCCCTAAGCACCTGTTATTTGCCACTTCTGGGAGACACACTGGGCTAGACAGACCTTTGGTCTGATGTGGAATGCTCCTTATTCACCTTAAACATGGATGCTCAAGTTGAACTCATTCAAAGCCTTAATGTGAAGGCACCAGCTGGGCATCACATTGAGATAGGGATCCCAACATTTAGCAGAACACATAGGGTGCCTGCAATATTTAGCAGAACACATAGGGTGCTTGCAATATAGAGGTGCCCAAAAGGACTGTGCAAAAAAAATGCAGAATTCACGGCTTTTCTGAACTGGGAAAAAAATGCATCCATTGCTGCTGAAACAAAAAATGGACAAGTTGAGATTGTACTTTTACAGTGGAACAAAATTTACTTACATCAGTATTACAGGAGCGATACCGCTTCCTTTCTCCAAGACAATATTTGCCTCCACCTGAAGGCCTGGAAAAACATGTTTTATGTGTTAGTATATGTATTAGCATAAACACAAGTTCATTATATATATTTATGTATTATTAGTATAAATACAAGTCCAAGGGATATATATTATATAACATATAAATAAACTTAAAAGTACATAGAAGTTTTAAGGTGAGATTTTAAAATATTTTATTTAATAAGAATTGTAGCACTGACTTGAATTGGAGCAGATACAAAACAATACTGGGTACTTGAAAATCTTCACTCATATAGTATTCATCTAGATCCCAAGCAAGCAATACAGTTTAATTGTATTTTGAACATACTAAAAAGGCATTGTTTTTAATATTTGCTTGCTTTGTAAAACTAGAATAAGAAATGTGTAAACAACCTACATGATGCTTTTTTTTAATCTTCTCATATTACACTTGAAAATATAACAAAATGAAGAAACACTGTCTGCTAAATACTGGAGCCAGCAGCAAAGACTGCATTTTTTAGTTCAAGAATCTGATTAAACAGTATTAAACAGTATTAAATCTGAGGAAACTCCAGAGAAAGCAGGTTTCTATTAGTGTGATTAAGACATTGGCTCTTAAATTGTCAAATTGTTCAAGAACCTTATCTATCTTCCACTGAGGTCAAATACTGAATTAACAGTGACTTAAATGGAAGATTAATCAGACATCAGATCTATGGCTCATTCTTAAAAGCAGAATGGAAAAAAACTTGGTGTTTGTTTTATAATAAAGAAATAACAGAATTTACAATTAAGTAAAAAGAAAATCAATATTATTTTTCACATTACAGATATTTAACCAGGCAACACTATCCTAGAAACTCAAGTTAATTAATGAACCAAAGGGAATTTTTTCCTAATGCAGACACACACAAATGAAAATTTAAGAAAATATTGCATTTGCTTGCTGCACTGTTAAACATTTAAAATTTAATCATCTTTCAGCATACCAACTGATATACATAGTGACAGGAGTATTTAAAAAAATCTAAGGAAATTACTCATGCTCCAAACATTTCACTAGCATTTTTTCATACTGCTGTGAAAAAATATTTGCTAGCTTTGACTGATTTGATATTTGCTAGATTTGATTGATAGTTATTGCTAATGATAGGAGGTGAACAGACCACCTTAAACAGCAGTAATGTGACATTATGGTGTCTGTCTTGCAGAGCGCAGTGGAAAGCTGAAGTACAGCCTAGCTTGCAAAACATTGGTACAAGCGACAAAGAACCGAAGTGTGCAGAGAGGAGAAGAAAGGAGTGACAAAAGTCACAGAATGGATTTTCATGAAATAAGCACAAAAGCTTCATGTTTTCAAGAAAAAGTGGTCTTAAAAACTAATGATGATGATGGAAATAGAGATTACGGGACATGACAAGAACAAAGTATGGAGTAATAAAACCATCCTTCTGCTAAGACCTATAGCTGTGATGAGGTAACCAGAACAGGGCAAGCAGCAACAGAAAAAAAAGCAGTGATTCATTCAGCAAAGAACAGCAATGAAAATAAGTGAGCATTCCTCATCTGAGAAGCGCTAGTGACAGAGAGAGGAGCACTTACCTGACAGACCTTCTCTGGAACAGTGCTCAGGACATTGGGAAGTAGACAGATGAAAGGACCAGTACAGATACACACAACAGACCAAGCTGTTGTGGAGAAGCTGGCCCCTCTTGAGAGAGAGCAGATGGACCAATAGGCAGGGAGAGAAGTTGCTGAATTGTTTTAAGAGTCAGTGGGAAGTTACGACTAAGTGTTGGATGTGATAGCGTATTTATGTATTGTATGCAACATAATAATACTAATTATGGTTTATATGTAAGCAGTTGTATGCAAAATCTTGGAAATACTGTGTTGCTTGTTTAATAAGTAACTGGCAATAGTTACTTTATATCCTAGACAAGCATCAGAGATAACGTCTTAAGAAGAAAGAAATCTATCATCTAAGGCATAATTTAAATATATTTTGCATGAACAGTAAGTTGCAGAAAGAAAACTGTTCTGGTTACTAGTAAATATAAATCCAGCTATCTTTACAGTACATACATAACAGATACATTAAAAAAATGTTAAAAGTATGTCTAGTGAGCTGCTCCTGTTAAACTGTTTCTGTCTGCTATTTTGAAGACAAATGCTGGCAAACTAGCAAAACATTTTTACAGATAACATGTGAAACCACAGTTTTGAATAATTTCCAAGTGTGTCTTTTTGTTGGCTCTGGCTTACTTTAGCTACTTACGCTGGACTGTCACAGTGTCTTATAGATGAGGAGACTCCTCCCCCGCAGGTCCTGCTGCACTCTCCCCATATTGACCACGAACCCCAGCCTCCATCTATGCTCTGGGGCCAAGTGCCGAAAGGTACACACTCTCCCTGATAACACCACTGAAAGATTTCACAAAAACCCCACAAAATTAGCTTCCAGGCTGACAGAGTTATCAGGACAGAAAAATATAAGGGTCAGGCAATGACAATTATAGGCATTAGCATTCTCTGTATAGATAACAAGACTAATATTTTACTTTTTCTAGCCATGTTTAGACATTGGTGAGGGTGTGTGTGATTTGTTAACTGTCTTCACTAAGTCCTGAATTATATGTCCCTAACACACACCAGAAATTAAAGCAAGCTTAAAATAAAGATTTTCTTTTTTCTTCATACATCGTCCTTAATGTTTCACATTAAAGGAACTGCAAGTAGCTTACAGTCTTTTAAACACTAAGATGCATTTCTAAGATTAGTTTAGTAAAACACCCTCCACTTAGAATTCATGTAGGGGCTTCATTACGCAAAATGAAAAAATCTCCCCGACAGTATTTTTAAGAAAGTATTCCCTTAATTTTAAAAAAGAAAAAGAAAATCTGGACTAGGTTACAATGGAAGAAGAATTTGTTGCAGTACTTCATTTATACTAACCCTACAGACATAATAAAAGTAGTGCCAAGGCATTAGACATGGTACAGAAAATCACTATATAATAGTGACTGGCCATTTGTTCAGGGACAGAATGAACATGTGTACTTTATTCATGCAAACACTGAACCTTTGCAATATTGTTACTTACATTGGACATACAAAATGACAGACAATTCACACAATGGCTAATTGTTAAAATAAATTTATCATTTCCTTAGTCAGAAACCTTTTTTAAACCATTCAGAAATAATCCTGGAGCCCATAGTTTGATCCACATTCTGGTGTCTATTGCATCACTGAGAATCTGGAGTAAGCTCAATTAGATAAGCCTTTCTTGCCATTATTGGCTTAGGCGACAGAGTAGAGCATGGCCTCAGGTTTACTGTGACCTGAATCTGCACATTTCACGTCCAAAAGGTGGGCATCTGCTGTTTAACTCCCTTGAATTCCCATAACAGACACAATATTGACCCTTTCCAAAAAGAAACCCAGACAACTTCTGTGTCCAAAATCAGCCATATGAATTTGACAAAGCGCACTGAGACATACACAGAAGACACAGACAGACAGAGGTATCCCTGTCTACCCATAAGCACTACTGGAAGACTCAGTGTTGACTTTATACTAATCAATACAGCAAAGCCTAGTTTTCTCTTTTCCTGAGTCCTAAGGCTCATCTAAAGCCTCAGTCCTGGCAATGTGGGACATATACATATGTAAACAAGTAAATGCAGCCACTCACAATGACCTGAATTACTCTGGATTTTTATGAAAGAAAATGAAAAGAGAATTTAGCCTTCAGTCATTACTCAGAAAAAAAATAATTAATAGGAGTTTGATATGAACAAGGATTGTACAGAGTGTCAAAGAAAATGAATAAAAATCCTTAATTTTTCATTAGAAATTTCATTTTGAATAAAAAGGTACTTCTAGACTGTCAAACATGTCAGAGTCTAAGTGCCAGCTCTCAGGAATGCATATTAAAAAAATTAATAATAAAACGTGTAGCTTTCAATGAGCAAATGCACCTAGATACAAAGTAGTTTTGCATATGAACACATGCTACCATTTAACATTAATATGCAAAACCTGTAGCATTATTTTTCTAGCCACATTCATACTTGTTTCTTCTCTCAAAACATTTTTATCCTCCTCTTTTTTTCTCTGTATGTGCTGTACCTGTTTAAAAACAGCTGTTACAATCCAGCACATTTCTGTTTATAAACCTCATCCTCTATCAGTTAGAGAAACAAAAAAATAGCATTCATGTGTCTACAGAAAACATATAAAGCAGACTATTTTAAATCTCAAGATCAAAATGCATTGCCTTTTCTACCAGGTCTGGTTGGGACAGAATTTTCCTCATAGTAGCCAGTATGGTGCTGTGTTTTTGGTTTGTGACCAGTGTGGATAACACACCAGTGTTTTAGCTATTGCTGAAC